TGCCCCGGCGGGAGCGGGACGGGCTGGGTTTCCTCTGCAGGGATGGGAAACGAAGCCTAAATCGGTAATTGTTCCAAGCGGTTCTGCTCGGACGAGATGTATTACAAGAAACCCGGCAAATGGAATCCGGTTCTCTCTCTTTTCAGCTCTTTTACGGGATGAATCATTCCTCTCGGTGGGGCTCCGGCGCAGCTAGAAAACGGAGCTGTGACCCTCAGCAGTATAGGTGTGAACGCTGCGCTGTTGGGCTCGCCATGCACTGATGTCATGCCCGTGTTTCAGAGACCATGCTGCAGTGATTTTTAAAAATTCAAAATATTACGGATTCAGTTCCTCAAAAACTTAATTATTTTTTAAAACCATTGACAGACATCAAACCCGTTCTTGACTCAACAGCCTGTTTGGCTGAGAAAGGCACTCTTCAGGGGCCCTCCAGCTGCTTCTCCAGGCACATGGGGAAGGACAAGACTCACCATACCTTGCTGGATCTGCAGGGACATGAAGGAAGATTGTGTTAGGGTTACTAAATAAAGAGGGGAAAAAAAAATAAAATTCTGCAACCTTTTAGGCAGTTTTCTAAAATTGTCACAAGAAAAACTGGAGCTTCACTTTAGCTCTCGCTTAAGAAATTGGCACTACTTTTCCACCTTTAAGCAGAGTTATATTTAATATTGGAGGGAGAATTTAGCTTTTGTCACCACTGAATTCTAAACAGCATGACTAAAGCTGTGATGCTGAGGCAATGTGTTGCTTGCACAAACTCTGTTTTCCTAAGCAGTGCCTCCTACCATTTGTGTAAATGAAGGACCAACTTGCACAAGTGTTTGTGCACATGCTTGTCGAAGCTGCTGGTCCAGAAGTGTGTATATTTTGTGTAGAAAAGCAATGATGTGATTTGCTTGTTTAGCTGATATTCATGGCTTCCCCAGTGTAGAGGTGGGTGTGTGGGTGCGTATACATGCAAATCCATCAGCACAAATTATATATATAATATGGTATCATATGCATGTGTGTATTTACAGACATGCAGTCAGTATGCATTAGCTATTTGAATAAACATATGTGTCGGTATCTGTCTGCTTAATAATAATAATAGTAGCCCAGCAATAACATAGCCTGCCCACAGCTCAGCAGCACCACGCACATGCTGGTGGCTTGGTACAAATCAGCATCAGCACTGGAAGCGAAGATGCTGGGCTGTGGCTGGGAGCTGCGGAGGTGCAGGCGTATGTTATCTCCTGCCAGCTCTGCTGTGCGTGGTGGAGTCAGGCAGAGAGGAGGTGCAAGCAGCCGGGAAAGACGCCTTAACCCATTGAAACAGCAATTGTCAGAGCTCACTTGTCAGACATCTAAAGAATGAATTTTTACTATGCTTTCTACACTACTGCCTGCAATCGGCAGACCCAAAGTGGAGAGGAGTTTCCAAAGTATCTCGTTTGTCGGCCAAGTGTTGCATTCGGCTGCCTGGCTCCTGCGTAACTCAGAATTCAGGGGATATAATATCTTCTCCCACCTATTTAGCAAATGTTCTTGAATTTCAGCTGGTGTGAACTGAAGTTGCTCACCAGCGATATCTGTGGAAAAAGACCTATGATTGAGCCAGGGGAAGTTCCATCGGCCAAGGACACACCTGTACCTACAGGTGCACCGGTGATAGAGTCTTCAACGTCGATCCAACATTTCACGCACACTCAAAACTTTCTTTCAAGTCACAGGAATGCACTAGGGAGATCAGGAATATTTTCAAAGGTAGTAGAAAATAGTATTGGTTTGTGATAGGGTGGCACATGAGACTAAACCCCCCACGCTAATGGACTGTAGTGAGTTGGGAAGAGGTGGAGCAGGAGCGGGCAACAGGACAACTGCTTTGCTGCAGCGCTTGTACCAGATCATTCATAGCAGCACCAGGCCAGAGGAGCAATCATGTAATGGGGACGTTTACGGTATGGGATAATATTCCATCCATTGCCATCAACATTTTTTGAGCCTGAGATAAAAACCTTTAACATTTATAGGTTATTAAGATCCTTTTTTTTTACTTTCTGTAGGCAGTTTGCATATAAATCTCATTTTAAGAATAGTCCATTAAAACCACAGCTGTCATTTGCTGAGAGATTTGAGGTGGGTTTTTTTCATCCTGAAATCATCTTTGTAATGGCTTTTGTGATTTTCCTTCAGAGCTTTGTCTCGTTTTTCTTTTTTTTTATTCACCTGTTAAAATTGCACTTCGCTCTCGCAGCTGGCAGATTGGAAGTAATGGAATTTAACTGCTATTGCAATGGTTCTGCGTGAAAAAAAAAATCTTTGCAGTTCCTGATTTTAGAAATGTGTGTTTTACTAGCTCT